TCGCATGCCCTGATTCCCATGATCGTTAGAGCTATGATGTAAAAATATTTAGGTGGGTAAAGTCACTACTGTATTCGGTTACTTAAACGGGTAGGGGAGATGAGTGAGGTATGTACAATGAAGCTTCATGTAACCGAAAGTGAACTGGATGTCACATGAGACCACCAAAGAATGCACAGCCGTTGTGTAGAAAAACAGTTGGATAGACGCATAGTTCAAGAGTGTATTTCTGGAGTTCTGAAGAGCCTCTATTTTCCCCGAGCCTCTCAGAATACCTACCACCGCAAAATCTAGATACGCATATCGGACATACGACAGTAGCTCAGAATATTTGCGTCACCTCTGGTCTTTTAAAATCAAATTTTGTATGATCACTTAGCAAAAATTAGGCATCGCAAGCACCTTTGCAGTATTTAAAGTATTAACCCATTCACTGAACCACGGCTCCTCGTGACTGAGGCGATATCACCCTGCTAATCTTTCGTGAATCAGACAGTGTTCTGGGGGTTATGTTCCTTTTATAGCCGGTAAGTGGTCCTCATCTTACGCGCTTCTGACAGCTCGCCGTAGTTTCTTGTTTCTCGGACTTTCAGTGTTGGTCTGCTTTCACTATGAATACCGTTTGCCATTACCAACAACAAAAAAGGCTTGACATTCTAAGAGAAGGGGTGAACATAAGCTGCTCAACTTCCCTTGGTTGTAGCCTCCTTTTCTTTGTGTCATCGGCTCGTGTGTGGCACGCGTAGGCGGGCAGTTTAACTTTATCAGCAACTTCGTCCGTGCCCTCCTTCGGCCGCCCCGAATCTGCCTTGCCACCGCGCGCGTGCCCAGGCGAATGTGGCAGATACTGCGCAAGCCTGCTGTCATGAATTAAGTCACGCATAGGATGCGAACGTCTTCATTCTTACGCTCTTGGTACTAGCTTCGGTAAAGAATTAACGCCTAATTTTGCTTCCCTAGACGTTATGTAATCCTCCAGCCTTGAGTTCCAAGAACTACAGGTTACTGTGAACACTTTACTACACAGTCGACATTTTGAGTGATAGGTGTTTCATGTGCAGTAAGAAAATCCCGACAGATTGCTTCTTTGCGATGCAACGCAACGTTATAACGCAATTAATTAAATAAACCTAAATTCATCGAAATCTCTAAGCAATCCTCAAAAATGCATCAACCAAAACCTCCAGTTAACGTTTTTAAATTCAATGAAACCTTGCAAAAGCGTATTGAGAGTCATCGTACTTTGGTTAAAAAATGGCAATCGTCTCAAGAAAACGAAAATTTGTGTAAAGCACGTGAAGCGTACGAAGTCTGTCCGTGTAAAAAAACTACGTAAATAAAGTAGCATGAGTAAAATAT